GGGGGGGGGGGTGGGGCTGCCACTGTACATGGGATCTGCATTTTAACCTCCTTACCCACAGGCATGAAGGAATTGTATTCACTGGCCTCCAAGCCTTTAGAGGGTTTCTTATTTCTATACCCTCCCATCTTCAGAGTGAAGAGGCTTCCATTTGCTCAGAAAGCTCCCCTGTCCCCAAATTAGGTAGCATGATAGTCACCCAGACTAAGAGCTGTAGGGCTTGATCATAAAACTGTTGCCCGAGAGAATTGAAGGGAAAGGAAAAGCCATTCTTACAGCATCACCGTGTACGAGGCACTGGGCTGTGGGTTTCTCATTCATTATATCATTTACTCCTCACCACTCCTGGACGACTTGGAGACCCTATCCTACCTCATACTCCCATCCCCTGCCCCAGACCTCTGGCTGAGCCACCTGCATTCAAAATGACCAATGATGGAAGCACCTAGTGGATGTCAGGGGCCAAGCAAGACACTTCGGCGAGCCGCGCCTTGCCAAGAAGGGCTAATTCGGGTGTAGGTCTATTTCAAGCATAGGAGGAGAAAGGAGAACAGCTTGGGGTGTGGGAGGTGTCATGCGTCATGGAGGAGTGGCGAGGGGTGACAGGGAGAACCGATATAGGCAAACCCGGGGGGGCCGGGGGGGAGAAGGAAATGGGAGGTGGTGTTCTGCTTCCCCCAGAGCAGTGAGCCTCCTGGGCTCGTTGAACATATAGACTACATCCAGGCTGGTCGGTCCCAAATAAAGGCAGCTTCACCTCCAAACTGTAGCAGAAAACTTGCAAGTATCCTGAGGAAAATTACAGGAAAGATGGGGAACTTGACCACCCACTGTAAACCAGGCACTTTGCAAACATTTCATGCTCGTGGCCTCATTTGGTCCTCATGATAACCCTATGATACAGAGTTTATTGTCCCCACTTTAAAGATGGGGAGACTGAGGCTCAGGGAGATCAAGACACTAGCCCAAGGTCACAGAACTAGAGAGCGGCAGGGCTGGCATTTGAACCCAGGCCTGCAGGCTCTAAAGTGTGTGCTCCTCTTCCTAATCCAGGATTTCCTGAAGGAGTATGTCTTGTAAACTTCATAGGGATATTAATCGGTCCTATCTCCAAGAAAGGATCCTGTGGTCAAAGGTGGTTAAGAACCGTGGGACAGAATTCGTCTCTTCCTCACTGCAGGACTTCTCAGAACCTTGAATAGGCTGGCGTATAGTGGAAAGTTAGCCATGGAGGGCTTCCCGGGCTGATTTGGCTGCAGGACTTTTCCTGGCTGAACCTTATGAGATTGGTGTGGCTCCATAATATACTTTGGGAAATAGTACTCTATGCCGTTGCTACTCAAAATGTGATCAGAGGACCTGAAGCCTGAACATCTCCTAGGAACCTATTAGAAATGCAGAATCTCAGGCCCCACCCCAGACCCACTGAATGAGAATCTGCATTCTAATAAGCTCTCCAGGCTCTAGGCCAGTGTGCATTAAAGGTTGAGAAGCACTAGGCTGAGCCTTGGTCAATGAGAGAATTAACCGTTCCTTTCCCTTCCTCCTCTGAGCCAAGTCAGGATGATTTGGACATGGAAAACACACCCAGCTGGCAGTAATCCCCCTGACTCCACCCCCCCATCCCCCTCCCAACTGAAAGTGGGTGTATTCCATTAATCTTGGAGGCATTACGCTTGTTATTGTTATTTTATTATTTCTTTTACATTTATTAATATATCACTATTTAATACATCATTTATAATCATAATTAGTAAATAATCACTCTGGACCCCAGACATTTACAGGACACTTTGTGGTGCTTTTCATGAGCATCATCTTGGTTGAAATGGTCACATTTCACAGAGGAAGAAACGGAGGCACAGGTGAGAGAGGGGACATCCCCCAGTTCACCTAGTTAGTGGTCAGTCTCCCCAAAGCTTGTTTATCAGGCCATCTTCCCGTGAACCCTCCACACATGTGCTTTTCACACCCATGTCCCTAGCAATGCATGAAGAGAACAGACCTAGTTGTCAAAGCTGCGTCTGGCATCTGATGCAGAAAGGCCTCCAAGTCTCCACCCCAGGTCCCCATCCCAGCTCCCCTGAAACACAGCCCACCCTCCAGGTTGTGCTTGGAGCCAGACCTAGCTGCCCCACCATAGTTCCGGGGATAGTCAAGCACCAGTTTGGCTGAGGAGAGCCCCAAATAAGTCCCTTGCTTCTGAGAAACCAGGCCATCTGCACCAAAGCACCCCCAGAACACCTCTCCCTTCCTCGAACATATGCATTGGTGATTATTTTTCTAGCCACGTGATCACTATGGAAATAAAAGAGGAAATTGCTAGCTTGGTTAATGGGCACACACATGGGCTGTTGCATCTGATAATATGCAATGCAAATAAAGGCCCCTTTGTGTCTTCTAAAATCAAGTATCAAAGAGGAGTCCTCCGGTGCCCTTTAGCCCAGTTAGTAAAATTATTTTTGAAAATAAAAATAATTGTTGTAGTTCATTCCTGTTTGCTCTAAAAAGGCTTTTCCTGTTTTGTTTTTAATCCAGCAAAAAGAACTTTATAATAGAGCGACAGGGCCCTTCTCTTTCAACCCCAGGGTGGGTCACTGACCCTTTGCTGTGCGAGGCAGTGGGAACAGCCCTGCATTTCCCTTGCAGAGATAGCAGGGGGCTGGGATCCAGGAAAGCCACTTCTCCCCTCGGAGTCACTTACAACACGATATGGTGATGCTGATGACAGTTTTATGGAACCAATAAGGCAGCATTATGATCAGTATGCTCCAGAAATGAGGGCTATCTCTGAACCTCCTTTGGCCTCAGTCTCCTCATCTGTAAAATGAGACTGATGAGAATCCTTCCTATCCCACCTGCAGGGCATTGGGGAGATTGACAGGAGACGACACTCGCAAACCTCAAAGTGCTAAATGGGCAAGTGGTTATTACTAAGGCAACCATCAGGTGCTCTGGGAGCTGAATGTTGCATCCCCATTTTACAGAGGTGGAAGCTGAGACTGGGAGAGGTAAAGCTGCACAGCTAATTGGTGTAAAAACAGGGGCTTCGGGAGCCCCATCCCACCAGGGCCGCCTTGATGCCCCTCCCCTGGGCTCAGAGGGGCTGAGGGATTGCTGCTTTCTCCGAAATCGGAGGTGGAAACATAGACGCACTTTGGGGCCAGCTCTCCGTTTACCCCCTGGGACCTGGGCAGGCCATCTGCCTCTCTGAGCCTCAGTTTCTCATCTGTAAATGGGTGCACTACAGGAGTGCCCTTGTAGGGATGTGGTGAGGATTATATGAAATCATGGGGGTTATAGATGCGCCTGGCACATGGTGGGTTCTCACAGAACGTGAGCTGTGAGAATCACCTTTGCAGCAAATGGCCAAGGGTGTCTGACCTACTGAGACTCCTCCTGAGGTGGCAAGGCACATGGGCAGAGCTCTGACTGAGCTCAGTGGACAGGCCCAGGGGACAGGAGGAAACCCCTTTTCCTCAGTGCCAGCAGCGAGGGCAGGCATCTCAGCTGCCAACTAGTGACCACCAGTACCTGCCACACTGCAAACCCAGCCCCCAAGCCTCTGGCTAAGACTGGGGAGGGGGCCTCCCAGGCAGCCCCGATTAGGTGATGAGCAGCCCCAGATCCGGCCCTTTCCCCAGCCCTGGCATGCAGGGCTGGGGCAGGGGTGCACCCCAGGGAACCCACCAGCCCAACTTCCCTGAGTCTACTGAGGCCCGAGCTGGTCAACTGCAGAATAAAGAGCACACACCCAAGTGGAGGGGAGGGGCCAGCGGCGTCCCCTTGAGAGACCGGGCACTCCCACTGAGCCCCCTGGATTCACTCAGGGCACCTCAGAGCCCACCACTGGGGAGCCCTTGCCCAGCCTTTGCATGCATTACCCTCAATAGGGCTGGGCAGGGGGTTGTCCATGCTGTGCCTTCACACTCCTCCAGGTGGAAAAAGGAGAAAGTAGAACTCTACATACATCCCTCCTGAAGCCAGAAAGTAAGGAGCACATTGACCAAACTCCTCTCTTTTCTAGAATCTCTCTCATCTCTCTCGCGCGCGCGCTCTTGCTCTCTCGCTCTCTCTCCCTGTCTCTCTCTCATTTCCTTTGCCTCCTCTCAGTTCACAAAAGCACCAGCCAAATTAATCACTGGGGACCTGAGAACCCCTCTGATTCCTGCCAGCCTACTGTAGTCCCTTTTACCCTCAAAGGCTGTCATTTAATCTGTAAGATGCTCAGGGCCAAAATAATTCCCACCGAAGCTCTCTCTCCAAGCCCCCGAGAATCAAGACAGACCCTGCAGTCAATGTGGTGGCCAGGTTTGCTCTTGTCTCGGGGCGTCCCCAGCATCCCTATATGGAGGGACGGAGTCGGCTCGGCGCTTCCTCCTTCTATGACATGAATGTCCGTGGCCCTGTTGCGTCTTCGTGATGATCAACGTGTGTTGTCTGTTCTCTGTTGTCTGTTAAAATTCTTTGTCGTGTAGGTAAAATGCAGGATGGCAATGTGGACGCCAGCCAGAGCAAAGGTAACCCTTTTGTATTAACCGGCTTCTGTGGTCCCTGCAGCCCCTTCCCACCGGCTCTGAGAGCCAAGCCAGACGCAGACATGTCCGCACCTACAGGTGCCTGACGTCTTTGGGGGGCATAGCTGTGATTCATGTATTTCCAGGCCAAATGGAGACGTCACCGGTGAGGACAGGGGACACCTGTGAGCCAGCTCTTCCCCAGCCTTTGAGCTATGCTGCCCATTTAGCTGAAGACTTGTAGCTGGTTCTTTGAGATCCTTAGGGGCTAAGGGATAGGGCCCCAGGCCCACCAGTCAGTCCACCACTGAAGGAGGAGGAGGCTCATCACCCACGGAAAGGGACACTCTCTTTTATCTTTTAAGCCCCCTATGTCCCTTCTGTCTGGTGACTATTTAATATCCCAGCAACATACTCAAGAACCAACCGGAGAAGTCCAAGCCTACCTGCCTTGTCTGAATGTGGGGAAAGGTGAGGGGCCATTTGGGAAGGGTCTGTGGGCTTATTCAGGCCCAGAGGGGACCCCAGCCTCCTCCTGCTGGGAATCCAAGGTGGAACTGTGTCACTCCCTGGTTGCACTTGGATTCCAGCTCCAAGGCAACCACTGGCCCTGGGACCAGAGTCTCCACCTGGAAGAGGCAGACCCCACATCGCAGGGTTTCTGTGCCAGCCACACAGGGGTCCAGGCAGCGGAGTGAATGAATGCCTCACCACACTCCCCTGGGCAGGCAGGGTGGGTGCCAATATCCCCACCCAGCAAGCTGACCTCGGTGCGTGCATGTCTGTGTGTGTGTGTGCGTGTGTGTGCGTGCGTGCTCTGCCCCCTGCAGCCAAACAGCAGGATGGGGCAGCCGCCATGGAGATGCAGCCCCTCAAGAGTGCCGAGGGTGGCGATGCCGACGACAAAAAAAAGGCCAACATGCACAAGAAGGAGAAGTCTGTGCTGCAGGGAAAGCTCACCAAGCTGGCTGTGCAGATAGGCAAGGCAGGTAAGTGTGCAGCCACAGTGGATGGGGCAAGAGGGAATGTGGGGTGCACAGTGGGACCCAAAGCTGGCTCTCAAGTACTTCATCTGCAAAGTGGCGGCTTGCATGAGATGGCCCTGAGACCCACCCTTTTCTACCACAGCAACCAGCCCGAGTCCTGAGACGATAGACGCTCAAGTAATAGGTTGGAGTACGGGAGGGCAGGGATGGATTAGGGCTCTATATTAGCCACCCCGGCTGCAGGGCAGAGGAAAGATGGGAGAGGTTGAGGGCAGTGGCAGGAGCCCAGGGAGAAGCCTCTTGTCTGAGCCTCAGTGCAAGCTCAGCTTCCCAACTGAGCTGGTGGCTCCAGGTGACGGCTGGTGGTGGCCCCTCTGGCCCAGGAAGCTGAGCCCAGCTGTAAGGCGTGCCCCGCCCGGCTGACACGGCCCGGGCCTCTCCGCCGGCATGAGGACACAGCAAACGCCAAGGCCTCCCCACCTGGCTGTCTCTCGGCTCTAATTATAGGCACCATGGCGTGGAGGAGGGGGGCAAATTACAGGCTCGACTGTCTATATTTAAATTCGGGCCTGGTGATAGCTCCCGGCTGCTGGGAGCTTGGCTTCCCGCCCCTGCGACTGTCAGATGGGGGTAGAGCCGGCCCTGAAGTTCCACAGCTGGAGGTGGGGGCGGGCGAGCTATGGGCCCAGGGATTTCCTCCATTCTCGGCCTGGAGAAGACTCCACAGAAACAGGCAGCAGCCCTGGGGGGCAGGGAACAGAGAGATGAGGAGAAGAAGGAGGAGGAGGAGGAGGAGGAGGAGGAGGAGGAGGATAACCCCATGGCCTTCAAAGTCCTTGCTCATCTCCCTCCTTCTCCTCAGCCTTGCCGAGAATGGAGTTCAGAGTCTAGGTTCACACCCCACCTCTGCTTCTCTCTTGGGCTGAATTCCCTGAAGCACAGCCTGACGTGGCTGGGAGCAGGATTTTTAGGGGCGAGGGTGTGCTCAGGTGAAACCTCTAAAGGGTAAGAGACTTGACAGGGCCAGGGGGAAAGCCAGATACTTTCTGGAGAAATCCCAGTCTCTACCTACCTCTGCAGGGTCTGTCCCAAGTCATGCCAAGGGGACTGGGCTGTTGGACCCCTACCTCAGCCATTGGATATTGGTCATCACATTGGGGTGGGGTGCCCTCCCAGGCACTTCCTGACAAAGAGACGGTGATCACCGAAACACGAGCTTCCTCTGGCAGCAGCCGCAGGTGTGCACAGCCTCAGGGGCACCTGCCTGGCACCAACAGCAGGTGGAGGCCGCACACACCCAAGTGGCAAGGGGATCCCAGGGGATCCAGGCAGGTAGGCACCTGCCTCTACTAATTCTGCAGCGCTTCTCTGGCCTGTGGCCTTGAACAAGTCACTTCCCCTCACTGAGCCACAGTCTCCTCATCCAAAAAAGGGCCCCCTGCTCTTTCCTCTGTCTGGAACACTCTTCCTGCAGGTCACGCCATCTGCCTGATCCTTCTCATCATTCCCCATCTTCTCAAGTATCACCTCCTCCGGGAAGTCTTCCCTGGACGCCGTCACTAAAGCAGTCACTCCCATGCCAGCCCATGTTTTGTTTTTAAGCTTTATTGAGACACAACGTATATACAAAAAATTGCTCACATTTAATGTACATCTTGATGAGTTTGGACACATGCATACACCCGTGATGCCATCCCCACAAGCAGGGTACGAAGCCTAGCCACCACCTCCTCCTAAACGTCCTTGTGTTCTTTCATGAGTTTTCCTGTTTTCTGTTCTGGGGGTAAGAACACTTAACAGGAGACCCATCCTCTTGCCCAATTTTGAAGTGCACAATACTGTACTGGTAACCGTAGGCACTGTAGTGTAAAGCAGAGCTCTAGAACTTATATATGTTGCATAACTGAATCTCTGTACCCACTGAAAAACAACGCTCCCCTTCCGCCCTCCCCACAGCCCCTGGCAATCACCCTTCTACTCTCTGCTTCCATCAGTTTGACTATTTATATTCCTCATGTAAGCCCTTCTGTGTCTGCCTTCTCTCGTTCAGCGTGATGTCCACTAGGTCCATCCATGTTGTCGCAAATGGCAAGGTTCCCTTCTTTTTTAAGGCTGAGTCACATACCGTTGTGTGTGTGCCCCACGTTTTCTTTATCCATTTGTCTATCGATGGACATTTGGGTCGTTTTCTCATTTTCTGCCCATGTCACTTTCCGTCTTGTCATCCTGAAGTTTTTTGTCACAGCATTATCCCTATCTGAATTATCTTGTTCATGAGCTTGTTTCCGGTCTGCCTCCCCCTCTGGAGTCTCAGCTTCCCAAGGGCAGGGACTCTGCCCTCTCTATTGCTGTGTCCCTGGTTCCTGAAGTAGGAACTACTAGGTGTCTGGGTGAATGAGTAAATACATGGTACCAACTGCACATCATTATTGTGTGAGAGTACTATGCAGGCAGTTCTAACTTACTCACATGGTCTCTCGGCACACATTTCTTGAGCCCCTGCAAGGTGTCGGGCAGGCACCATGCTACGCACTTTACGAGCACTAATCGCATTTGATACTTACAAAATCACATGAGATAAACATGCATCCCCGTTGCACAGAAGAGGAGACTGAGGCTCTGTGAGGATCAAGAACTTGCCCTAGGCCACAAAGCGAGTAAGTGGCAGAGCTGAGATGTGAGCTAGGGTCTGCCTGGCCCCAGAGCCCTTCTGGCCAAGGGTTTGGTCTACATCTCACTTCCCAGGCCCATACCCCCAGGAAAGCCCCTGAACAGGTCTTCCCCCACCCGTGTTACAGGACTGGTGATGTCGGCCATCACAGTGATCATCCTGGTGCTCTACTTCACCGTGGACACCTTCGTGGTCAACAAGAAGCCATGGTTACCCGAGTGCACGCCCGTCTACGTGCAGTACTTTGTCAAGTTCTTCATCATCGGCGTGACGGTGCTGGTGGTGGCCGTGCCCGAGGGGCTCCCTCTGGCCGTCACCATCTCACTGGCCTACTCTGTGAAGGTGAGAAGGAGGGGACCAGATGGATGCAGTTGGCTGCCCCCCCTCACCAGGGGCTCTGTGGGGGTGGCCCGTGGGGCAAGTGCTGGGGCTGGGAGAAGCGCTGAGAAGGAGGGAGGGGGCATGTTGGAAGGTGGGAGAGAACACGGATGCAGGAACCCAAAGCTCACACACCCTCAGGGAGGCCCGGGGCCTGTGGCCACAACCAGAGGGCCACACCCTGGCTGCAGGGACAGCCATCATTCATCCCAGCCAAGTGTCGCCTTGCAGAGAAGCCCCTTTGTTGCCAAATCTTCACAATTTTCCAGAGAAGCAGAAACGTGGACTTAATATGAACTCTCTTGATTTTTAAACGTTGACAATCAACTCAACAACAAAAAAAAAAAAAGCACAAAGAGCAGACGTCACCGTGTAGGCCCAAACCCATCCCCAACCCACCAAATATAAGTAGAAGTCTGTAGTACTTCTATGACTAATCTCAGAGGGTACTCCCTAACTTTGGGAAGAGATAAACCTAAAACCAAAAGATATCTGATGTAAGGAAGCCCCCTCCTCTCAAAGGACGGGCGGAAAATGGAAGAGGGTTTAAAAGCAGTTTAATGAGGGCACCTGTGTGGCTCAGTTAGGTGAGCATCTGACTCTTCATTTTGGCTCAGATCATGACCTCACAGTTTGTGGACATCGAGCCCTGCATCAGGCTCTGCAATGATAGTGTGGAGCCTGCTTGGGATTCCCTCTCTCTCTCTCTCTCTCTCTGCCCCTCCCCTGCTTGCTCCCACTTTCACACGTGGGCATGACAAACTTTAAAAAAAAAAAAAAGTTTAATGAAGAAGGGTAGGCCCAAGAAAGCTGACTATGAAAACTTGGGTCTTGGGGGGTGTTCCTAGTGCCCCCCAGATGGCAGAGACCCCTGCCCCCTGCTTCCAGGCAATGACCATCCACAGAGCCTGAACACTGAGCTGAGCATCTCCACGGGCACTTTGAGCCTGGTTCACATGGCGGGCTCATTCTCTTCCCTTGGCCCCATGGTTTTCCCACCTTGCGCTCCTGGTTCCCAGGGCCCGGATGCCAGGACATCCCCGTGAGGACAGAAGCCAGGGCATGTTTATAAACAAGGCACTCTCTCCGAGATGTTGGCAGAGCTGGTGGAGGGCATAGCAAGCGTCAGTTTCCAAGTTGGAATTTGGACCGGGCTCACCGATGTAATTTCATACAGAAAAGAGATCTCCAGGCAGGTGCCAGAAAGTGGCAGTTCTGTGTAAAAGATACGGCCCTTATCATCTCCTTGTTTTAGGGTTCTTGAAGAAACTCCATCCCACAAACCAAAGCCCAAACAGGTCACAACACGATGCTGCTTGGGGACCTGGGGCCCAGAGATGGAGACTCTCCCACACACACAGCCATGAGTTGGGACCCCCATGGCCACCCAGCTGAGCTCAGGGTGTCTTTGAAAGTCACACAGGGTTAGTTTGGGGGGATTATGTACTGACATCTTTAGACCTCTGCACCATCTACAGTTTGTATCTCTGGCACCTGGTGCCTTCAGCTGTCTTAGGTCACTTGATAAACTTAGTACAGCACCCCAACCAGTCCCTTGATAAACTTGATACAGTCACTTGATAAACTTAGTACAGCACCCCAACCCAGGAGAGGCAAACTGTCCCCTCTCTGAGCCTGGCATACCCCCCTGGGAGCCGCCATCAAAACACTAGAGATGACACTTAGATCAGCGCTGGCCAATAGAGATATGATATGAGCCGCATGTGTGATTTTAAATTTCCTTGTAGTCACGTTAAAAAGAAAAAGTAAAACGAAACAAGTGACATTAATTGTAATATAATTTACTTTACCTAACATGTCCAAATTATTATCAATCCCACATGTAATATAAAAATCACTAGTCACATATTTTACATTTCTTTTTTCATGATAAGTCTTCAAAATCCAACATGTGTTTTACATGTACCACATGTTTCACGTCAGACCAGCCACATTTCTAGTGCTCGGTAGCCACCTATGTATTCTGAAGCCCGACAGACGAACCCTCTTCCGAGAGTGCAGGTGGTCAGAGGCCTGATGGAATGATCCAGGCTGTGAGGTTCAACAGAGCTGGGTTCCTGTCCCAACTTTAACCCTCACATTAGGTGTGTGATCCTGGTCAAATCACTCGGCCGTGACTTTTTTCAGTTGCCAAAATGGTTGACTAAAATCCTTGTAGTAAAGTCAGACCAGAAAGTGAGGAGGAACTTTGCAGACTGTAAGTCTGTAAGTTGATCATCCAGTAAACGTACATTAAATGTGTTATAAGAGAAAATGGCAATAGCACAGATCTCTAACCGATACCCATTTTGCAGTGACGTGAACTAGTGTTAAAATTATTCTCCTGACACTTCTTTTTACCCTTCTTACAAAGAGCTATAATGGGCAAGAAGAAAGGAAATCAGATTCCTAGGAACAGGCTGGAACTGTGCCTGATTCCGCCTCTAGCAACTTTTCATGTCCCTCCTTGGCAGATAGGGTCCCTGTGTCGGGAGGGCCTGCACTGAGTGGCAGTTCCTGGAGAGTGACTTTATTTGCATGACTTGCTTGAGAACCTGAAAGAAGCTATAGGAGTGGAGCTGGAAAGACAGAGAGGAAGACGAATACAAGAAATTAATAATAATATACATGGTAGGATTTCATTTTTGCTATAAATTTGAAAAGAAAAGATGTTGATACATAAGCTGTGTCAGTTCTGGGTGATGGCATTATGGCTGGTTTTTCTTTTCCATATATCTATGTTGAAAAGAAATTTGTGATTTTTATTATACAATTTATAATCTGTATTGAATGCAGAAAATAAAATCTATAGAATTTTTTTTATAATCTATAGATTTTTAGGGTGGCTCAGTCGGTTAAGTGTCTTACTTCGGCTCAGGTCATGATCTCACGGTTCGTGGGTTCAAGCCCTGCGTCGGGCTCTGTGCTGACGGCTGGGAGCCTGGAGCCTCTTAGGATTCTGTGTCTCCCTCTGTCACTGCCCCTCCCCTGCTCTTGCTCTGTCTCTCTGTCTCTCTCTCAAAAATGAATAAACATTAAAAAAAAATTTTTAAAGAAGAACCTATAGATTTTTAAAAGAAGGCAATAAAAATCTCCTATAATTCTACCACCCAGAAATAATGACATTAATATTTTGATATTTTTCCAGATATTGTTCTATGTCTATAAACACACATGTCTATCCTAAATTTATTTATTTTTGGTGGAACCAAATGAAAACCAGGCGCCAGCAAAAGATGGTACATTTGAAAAAAAAAAAACCCATAACCAGATAAGGAATGGTTCTTTCTGTCAGGGCGTAAGAGAAAAATATTTGAGGTAACCGGAAAGGACCCAACCTTAATTTATCATCCTTCTCCCTTATTTTTTTTCTGTAAGGAATACAGATTATTTCCATAATTCAAATGAACAAAGTCAATTCATCAAATCTTCTAAATGGTTCAAATCAAAGTAAAGGAAAAGGCTGCACACACACGAGGAGTTCAGATGTCAACGTTTCAGTGAATGCCCTTTGCGTCTGTGGGAGGCAAAGGGGCAGATAGCAGAGGCAGAGCCTCATTTACTGCGTGTTTCCCCCATGCCTTCAGCTCTCTGGCTCCCCAGCTCCCTCTCCTTACTGCCATCCTCTCACTCGCCCCTTTCCCCCAGAAAATGATGAAAGACAACAACCTGGTACGCCACCTGGATGCCTGCGAGACCATGGGCAATGCCACCGCCATCTGCTCAGACAAGACAGGCACACTGACCACCAATCGCATGACAGTCGTGCAGGCCTACGTGGGCGATGTCCACTACAAGGAGATCCCCGACCCCAGCTCCATCAACGCCAAGACCATGGAGCTGCTCGTTAACGCCATTGCCATCAACAGCGCCTACACCACCAAGATTCTGGTGAGTGGTGCAGCCTCCTCTGGGGGAAGCACCCACGTCCGTGGGGCGAGGCGGAAGTTCTGGGCAGATGGAGCGACGTGACTCGTATTTTTGAATCCTGCTCGTGTCTTTTGGGATGGTCGTGGAGTAAGCAACTTGTTTCCGTTTGATTTAGCAATAGTGTTTATATGACAGAAAAATAGTGTGTTAGTTGTGTTTTTTAGATCCCATCATTGTCCCCCTTACCAGAAAACTTCCACACTTTTTATTAGCAGGCTTTTGCTACATCACTACAGTAGGCTCCCCGTATCTATAGTTTCAGTTACCTCTAGTCAGCCTCGGTCCTATAGCAGATAACCCTTTGCTAACAATACGTCAGAAGGTCAGTAGCAGCCTAATGTCATGTCACATATCTGTATCATTCACCTCACTGCATCTCAGCATGTAGGCACTCCACCATCTCACATCACCACAAGAAGAAGGGTGAGTACAGTAAAATAAGATATCTAGAGAGAGATCCCATTCACATATACCTCCAGTATATGGTTCTAACTGTTCTATTTTATTATCAGTTATGAATCAGGTGTTATTCTCTTACTGTGTCTAATTTATGAAGTAAACTTTATCATGGATATGTGTATCGAGGAAAAAAACATAGTATACATGGGGCTTGGTACTATCCACAGCTTTGGGCATCCCCTGGAGGTCTTGGAACGTGTCCCCCAAGAATAAGTGGAGGACTGCTGTACTCCAAAACTTAGTGGCTCAAAATCAAACTGTGTATTTAGCGCTCGATTGTGAGCTGGCAATTCAGGCTGGGCTCAGCGGGGTGGTCCTTCTGCTCTCAGCAGGACTCCCTCACACGTCTGCATGTGTTGTGGCTCAGGGGACAGCCCTGCTGATCTCGGCAGCACCGCAGGCTGGTCTAGGATGACCTCAGCTGGGATGGTTCATCTGGGCTCTGTGCGCTCCCGCCTCCTCCGGCAGGCTGGTCTAGGTGTGTTGACGTCATTTTGCCACATCCTGTTGGCCAACACAAGCCAAGAGGCCTGCCCAGACCCGGGGAACGGGGAGGCTGACTCCATCTCTTGCCAGGAGGAACTGCCAAGTCACATTGCAAAGGGCATGGATTTAGAGAGGAACTAATTGTGGCCATTTTCACAATCCACCACCAATGACGTTGTTGTTAGTAACTTCTATTAGGTAGCAGCATCACAAGCTTTGATAAGAAAAACTATCATATTCCTGTCTCAGCTAAGCTGCATAGACTCATCATGCTGTAATCCCTTTTTGGTTTAGAAGCACAGATGGCTTTTTTTTTTTTTTTTTTTTTTTTTTGTAATTAACCAGCATTCAGATGAAGAGAAGCACAGACTTGTCCATCCGGAGGTCAGTCAGCCTCCAGATGTGTAGGTCATTTCTGCAGTGTGAGCCTCTGGGTGAGCAGCTGGGCTTTTTTGCTTAGCCTCCAAATGTGCCCTAGCCCTGACCTCTCCCTTCTGCCCCTGAGCCAGCTCGAAGCATCGCCATCAGGTTGGATTGTGGGAGCCGCCAGAAGCTTTATCCAAACGGGGAGGAGAGTGTGACTCAGCAGCAGCGAGGGGCTGAGGGCTGGTGGGAGAGGGGGGAGGAGGCAACTTCTGCCTCTAGACACCGGCCGGTCCAGGGCTAAGCAGCCACCCACATCACCCTAGAGCTGCAGGCTGCAGGAGGCAGCACAGAGGAAAGGAGAAAGTAGGTCGGGAGGATGCAGGCAGATGGGCGATAGAGAACCCTGTGTGTGATGCCAGAAATGACCATGTTTTGTCTTCTTCCCACCCCACCCCCACCCCAACCCCAATGTGGGAATCAAGGGAGATCAGCAATGTTCTATTCCGTTTCCCAGGCCTCCCTAAAATCACTGAGATGCTGTTCATGACCTTGTCCTGGAGATGTGGCAGAGAGGGGAGCAGAGCAATTCCCAGACCAGGCTTCGGGCGAGGGGGTGGCCGTGTGGGCAGAGCCCTGCGAGGTGGGCTTGGATGGAGATGTGTGTTATGCAATCACCATAAAAAGGAGTTCTGGGATCTGCCAGGAAGGCTGATGAAACATCTCAATTAGGCAGTGTTTCATAGCACTGGCAGCAAAGTTAAATTCTCATTTTCAATGTTGGTTGTGTCTAGGTGGCTTAAAGGACAGGGGTCAGTCAGTCAACCTGGGGAGGTGAACTGCTGAGACTAAAGAGAGTTCAGGGACCCCAGAACTGGAATCTTTGGTTTGTAATCAGGCTAAATCACTTACCTCTTACTTAGGCACCAGTGTCTCCTGATGTGCCTTGAACCCCAGCCTCCTAGGACCCCTGTGCTCTCTTTCTGGGTCTTTTCTGAAAAACCCCTGGCCACATGGTTCTCCTTGCTGGGGGCTGATGGCCACTGGTATAGAAGGGATAGCAGAGTCCCCTGGTATGACAGGGTAGTGGTGAAGGCTCATACTCTGGAGCCAGGCAGCCTGGGTTCAAATCCCTCTCCAGCTATATGAATGTCAACAAGTTACTTAACCTCTCTCTGCCTCAGTTTCCTGGGGGAAATGATAGGATTATTGTGAGGATGAAATGAGTTAGTAAGTGACAAGTGCTTAGCACAATGCCTGGCTCATATTCAGCACTAAGTATGGTTAGTGTTGTCGTTAAATCGCCCATTGAATAAAATCACCCATTGAAAGAGGATTCCGTTTGTAGCAATGCAGAGGCTAACCAATAAACAGACAGTGGAAGCATTAGGACTACAGAGGAAAGGGTCCTACCCAAAGTCATATAGCCAAGTATGGCAAAGCCAACTTATAGACACTCCAAAGCCAGCTGTTGAGTAGAGTGTCCAGACCAGGCTCTTGGTCACTGAAACCAATCCTGCAGCATCTTTAGTATAGGGTGATCTCAAAGAAGGAAGGCCTGGGGTCCAGGCAGTCATATTCAGAACCAGGGCCTGCCAGCCATGTGGGGCAAAGGGTGTCTAAGGGACTGTCCTTCCAGGCCCAGAGGAATCCTGAGAAGAGTAAGGGTTTGCTCGGTCCAGAGTAGATGTCCAACCACCCTCTAAACCAGGCTGGGAAATCTAGACGTATGGGTGGATGAATATGTGGGCAGTGGCTGGGTGAATGTGAATTAATAAGATGCTCAGAACAGGACTATCTCTGTGTTCTACTTTCCTGTTCTTGTGGCAGCAAGAGGTAGGGTTTGGCCCCATCTCTGCCCCATGGTCAATAGCAGTGCTCTCTGGGTCCCTCCAGCATACTGAGCTGGTCTCTTCTGCAGCTGCCCTCTGCTCTCTGGTCTTCATTGATCCGGAGACCTCCCAATTAGTTAGCACCTTTCATTCTTAAAACACACACACACACACACACACACACACACACACACACACACACACAAACCTACTTGAGTATTTGCAAGGGTAGATTGTGTGGGTGTCATCTACATGGATTCGCATACCTTAGAGACATACTAGTCCAGCCCCCTTACTTTATCTGAGGCCCAGAAATAGAAAGGGACTTGTGCCAAGTCACCCTGTGGACTATTAAAGCTGGAATCCAGATGTCTGGACACCCAGTCCAAGAAGTAATGAGGTTTGGCTCTGAAGTCCAACAAACCAAGGTTCAAACCTCAGCTCCAGCACTTACCACCCATGTGACCCTGAGCAAGTTACTTGACCTCTTTGAGCTTCTATTTTCCAATCTGCAAATCTATAAAGTGAGTACATAATTAATCCTAATTGGTAACATCCACTTAGCCAGGCTCGATGCTAAGTGCATACCCCATTCTGCCTTGTATAACAACCCCATGAAGTAAGTGACATCACATCTCTAATTCATAGCTCAGACCCTGAAGCTGGGAGAAGTTAAAAATCATGCTTGGAGTTCCAGAGCAGATAAGAGGCTGAGTCAGGATTAGAACCCCGTCCAAGCTGGAGCCTGTGCAGCTCACCACCCCTTCCCACCCAACTCACGCAGCTGCACCTTTGCCTTGAGGCAGCTTCAGGGCTCCCGTGAAGATCAGATGAGAAAATATATGTGAGGCTCCCGGCACAGTGCTTGACATGTAGCAAGTGCTCAGTCCACATATGTTATTACTCTCACTACTTGTGTTATTATTTCTGAGCCTTATCCTCTGTCGTTTATTTTGCCAGCCACTATCTTCCTTGACCCTCCATATCCCTTCAGGGGAATAAAGGCAAATATGACCATTCCCATCTTGCAGCTAAAAACACTGGCTGCAGAGACATTAAGTAACCTGCCCAGCATTGCTCCTGACCACCAAGTGGCAGAGTGGGGCCCAGAGAATTCTGGGGGAGTTTACCAAGTGGGCAAGGGGGCAAGGACATTGCAGACAGGGACACAGCCCTACAAAGGCCCAGGGACCCTAAGATGCATGGCTCATTCACGTGATCTGTGGCCTGTGCATTTCTCTGGGGCTACAATGATGAGAGTCGAGGCTGGAGGGCAGGGGGCGGGGACAGCTAGGTGGCATCAGATAAGCCCTTGAAAGGATGCTGCTCGTGGTACTTAGAAAAACCACCCCAGGCAGAGGTGGAGAGTGGTGTGAGGGCCACGGCTAGTGTCAGGGAGGCCAGGAAAAGTGGTCTAGAAGGGCCCTCCCACCGGGCCAGCTTCAACCCCATAGCCCCATCCCTGTGAGGATAGCAAAGCTTTCTTCTTTCCTGTCTTATTTCTAACCATTAGGAACTAAACTTGCCCTCTGAGAGAAGCTATGTGAATCATCCTTTAGTGAGAAATTGCTTCCCTGCCTCAGAAATCCTGGCACACCCTCAGACTTCCTTTGTTGTCTCTGACTCTTTGAACATCAGGACTTCTACTAGCTTCTTTCCATCACCCTGCAGCTTCTCAGAACCACAGCTGAGTGTTAAGATAGAAATACCTCCTTCCTCAGACTTTGGAGGCCTTCTTGTGCTTTCTTGGGAAAACATTCTCCTTTTCCAACCGTGTGTCCTCTGTGTGCTGAAACTGCCAAGCGGACCTTAATTTTGTAT